ATCTCGTACCGTACGTTCCGATTTTGGTAATTATATGATTGGTTGGTCGTTGGAAGCATCAAAGCTAGAAAGGTTAAGTGATGCTCAATTTTCTTCTGACGGTTGGGGCATGAGCACTAACTCTTGTCCTAAACAGAAAAAAAAAATTTTGTTGAATAGTACATCCAAACTGCTGCAACCAGGTCAATCCATCGGTTGTGTAATATAACGTTGTACGATGTACATCGATTTTGCGAACAAAATTACATCCATTGATGTAATATTGTATCTGCTTTTTGCAATTACATCATTATTTCATACATCAGCTTGAATTACATTGATCGATATTACATTTTTTTTTTGCTGTGTAGCCTTTTATATGACTTATGGCTATAGCGCCATTACTCGCTTTCTGAAAAGAGAAAAGGGAAAGGAAAAGGAGAAGGACGAAGGGAAAAAGATTATGTGAAATCTATGAACATAAAAGATATTTTTGATTTGAAATATACAATATAGAAATGCATAACGGCGCGGTGGTCACTACCCGAGTCTTGTCACTATTATCAAGTCATAAAAAGTAACAAGGACTAAAATGTGATCCTTTGATTACTGGAAAATCTTGATTCCCTAGATTGAAGTTGTCACGACAAGGGTTCGGTGGTAGATCTTATACCAGTAACGCACCACAAAAAGGTGATCTCCCAACGTTACTGGTTTGAAAAAATAAAAATTTACAAAAAGGAACGAACTAACCAAGTTTAGCCAATTGAACCTGAAGGCTGCCTGACATGTGTTGATGTAGAATTCCAAATTTTTGACGAAGCTTGACGAAGCTTGACGAAGATCAACGTGAACTAGTCCAGTTTATGGTAGTTGCGCGGAACATCTTCCTTCGATTTGAGATAAACAAATGTTCGGGTGTATGTAGTCGATTTTTGATGTGCATTGGCAAGCCTTTTCGTGGCCAATAGTCAGGTTCAACGCTGCGACTCAACTAATGATGGGACGCCTTGTGGAGGTTCTACTTGGCTTCGGAACAGCTTCTCAGCGGCAAGTAATAGGGAACTAGAATGAGGAACTATAAAATTGTCTCCTGAGCCTGGTTATGGCCAAAGCAGCAACCGATTATAGATAAAAAAAAAACTCCACGGAAAAAAAACAAACGTCAGGTTCGAACACACGCACAGCCTACTCAGAACAATTGAACTGCTTTTGTATCATGGGCCAATACCTCTGATATTATTATAAAACTAACGTTTTCTATTTTACTGATGTAGTTGTAGCTAATATCAAAACCTAAAAAAGCTCTATACATTATTTTGCGGAATGCTGTTGATGAAAAAAGTTAGAGGCAAATGAATGTAAATGAATGTATGAAATGAATGCAAATCATTTTCCATGCCTGAGTCATGCGCAATGCTCGCTAGATCACGCTCTACCTGGTCCGCCCATCGTGCTCTCTGCGCTCCACGCCTTCTTGTGCCAACCGGATCAGTAGCGAACACCAATTTTGCAGGGTTGTTGTCCGGCATTCTTGCAACATGCCCTGCCCACCGCATCCTTCCGGCTTTGACCACCTTCTGGATGCTGGGTTCGCCGTAGAGTGCAGCGAGCTCGTGGTTCATTATTCGCCGCCTAGAGATGAACTAGCCTAAGGCTAAAAATCTCTTTAATAAAGATTGAAAAAAAAAAAAACAAAATTAATCGCCGCCACTCACCGTTCTCCTGCACACTGTAACCGTTTGGTCACAAGTTCATAGGTTTTTGTCATTTATGTTATATATTCAGAACCTTCACGTTTCTTGTGCAAGAACAGTAGTATACCACAGAAGTGATAGAGTTCTGTACCGCTGTGAAAATGTTGTGCCGTTACGTTATGTCCACCATAGAGCTACAAACAACTATACAAAACAAGGATGATGGGATGACGGGAGGACGGGATGAAGGAAAATTGGGAGAAAGAACGGCCATTGCCCAAAATCGACCTTTTTCAATATCAGGCGTCCGTGTGCTAAGACGCAATTTAATTAGCTAAGTGCAGTGGTTGGTGTTTTAGAACGTGAACTAGGACCCCCCCCCCCCCCTAGCAGCAGCTAGGTGCACTAGGGCAAGCTAACGTTCAGGTAACTAAATACCCTGGACCAAAAACCGTAAATTAATTACGTATTCGTCCGATAGGACCTCTTTTTATATTGGACCTTAAAAAGGTCATCCGTCAGCACACGCCGGCTCGTGAAATTGGAAACAGTTTCCGAGCCTAATTGTCAAGGACCAAAGAATATTATCTGGCCAAACGTAGGCCATAATCGTAAAGGAGTTTTCCCAAGGGGCAGGTCACTCCACACACCAATCTTGGGTAATCTTTTTTGTCAGTGTGCCACAAGTGTGCCGATTGTGCCGGTCATAGAGCAAGCTGCGGTTGTTTGTAAAATATCCATCCCGGCAAATCGGATTTAGGATGACGCGGGAAGTGGCGGGTGTGTGAAATTTCGGTGTTTTGTGTTCATAGGATAATAAAAGTCCTGTACTTTAGGGTTTCATAATACCCTCAAAGGCAGACCAGAAACTTAGCCTTTCGTGATATGAAACCAACCGGAAAGAGTTGGAACTGGCGGGGATCATTGTTGGAGACCGACTATAGAGGATGATGATTACACTTCTGTAGTGTGTTAGTTGCAGCATTATTTGAATTAATGGTACTTATGGGGTTTGATTTACTGCCTCTTTCTCTTGAGCTCGCTCTAGAACCTACATTTCGTATTAAGATCTATAAGTGAACTGCTGATCTGAGTTCCCATAGTATATTCAATCATCATCTAATTGAATATACATTCAAACAGCATGTAATGTTGTGAACAACTTCAATGACAGTTGTCCAGCAGTGCTCCCATTTTATGTACAACAATCCAATGCATACGAGATTGTGCCGAAGGTGTGCCGATGGATGTGCCCAAGCTGTGCCGAATCTAATTTCGGCACAATGTGCTAAGTGACTTACCCCTTGAGTTTTCCCTTCTCAGCTTGACCAAGGTGGCCTTGCCACGGTCGGCCGATCGTGCCAACGAAGGACGACGCCTGCCATCCCACCGTCCAGCAACGCCCGCTGGCCCGTCATCCGCTCGCTTCGCCAATCTGGCGAGAGTTCCGGCCGCACAGTAGGACAGGAGTCACTGTGTCGGCCATCCCGATTCACCATCAACGGCAGCAGCGGTATGTACCGGTACAGTAAACAACGTGATTAGGCTACACGACACATATTACACGAAATTATGAACAACACGCACATAATACAGAATGTGGCAAATAAATGCGTTTAAAGAAAAGTGAAAGTTCTTCGTTTTTGTATCGCGAAACCCTCTGATAACCCGTTTGCTAGCCGACCCTGGGTGTTCCGGAGCTTGCTCTTGTTGCCTGAGTCGACCGGTTGCTGCATGTTTGATCTCCGAGTAGGTAGTTGGTGAGTGCTAAGTTCTTACATCAGTTATAACACCGCCGAAGATCGTCCTTAGCACACGTCGCTCGAAAACTCCGAGTGCTTGCGGGTCCTCCTCGAGAATTTTCCATGTCTAAAATAAAAAAATAAATATCCTAAATGAATACTGATCAACTCTGCACACCTCAATCTGTGCCGATAGTTTTCGCTGTGCCGAAAGCTATGCGAAACGCTGTGCCGAAGCGTGTCAATCAAGTATCCCATGAGTTAGGCAACCCTGAAGATTTAATGACTTTTGTGATTGTGTAATTAAACGAAGCGTGATAAAAATAAATTGATGTTTGCAGCCTAAAATCACTGCTGCAGCACGGAAATTTCCCCAGAATAAGCTAACCAAACCAAATCTGTTCCAAGAAGACTGATGCATGCCGGTTGCTTAGCTATACCATAGAGGTAACTCTAAGACCACTGGGTCCCGAAGAAAATCATTATTATTTTTGGCTCACTCAGTACCAGAACAACGGTCCCAAGCAGTCCCAAGCTATTTCACTCACCCCTGCATGTTCTGCATGAATCCACACACCCCTGATGTTATCTGTCAAACTTTCATAGCGAATCAAAACAAACATAGTGTAGTAATAGAATTTCAACTAGAATAGGGTACGTTAATCGTTTGCTTGGGACCAATAGGCTACCAAAGTGGTGAGCCAATTTAAAATCGTTAGTTTCGTATTGATTGTTGGCTATACTCCGTCGGATGGATTTCGGAAAGCTGGATGTGGTTCTTTATCCGTGCCGTTGACTATGAAATAGTACAACAACTTCGGTCCCAAGCTAATCGATATACTCCTCGAAACATAGGAAAATCCACGAACCCCTCATTTTATCTGTCAAACTTTCATAGCGAATCAAAACAAACATAGTGTAGTACTAGAATTTCGACTAGAATGGGGTACGTTAATCGTTTGCTTGGGACCAATAGGCTAGTCAAGTAGTGAGCCAATTTAAAATCAAATGACCGTTATCCGTAAGGAATCAATGAAATCGACAAATTCTCTTTTATTTCGTTAGAAATAAGTCTGCACAAGTTCTGAGTAAATTTTCTCATTTTTGAATTTTCCACAGATTTTTAAACTTTTACCGAACAGTTCCGCAATTCAAAGGCCCAGTAAAACCTCACTGGTATAGTGTACAGGTACTCTAACCCTCACATACATTTCTGTATTCGGAAATGTTCATCCACAGTGAACGAGCATGTTTGATTGTTTCCATTCATATCCACAACTCAACCTCATGTAGGTATAGATAGACAGTGAGCAACACACATGCTTCTGCTCATCTCACTGTCGTCGTTGATGCGACTGTTTGTCCGCAGTTCAGTATATTATTACAGTACTCTACCCGTTTACGCGATCCATCGAATGCACGGTATTTTAACATTCATGGAAACGAACACCGCACAATCGAGCACCAGACTGTAGAGAGACGAACACAGCTGAGAGCACAGTTTTCTGTTTTACGACTGACTCACCACAACACAACCCACCGAGCACCGACCAGCGACCGGTGCGTCGATATATATAGAGGAGAGCATCGATCGCAGCCGGTTTAGTAGAGAGAACGAGATTCGCGAGAGTGGAGCATTTTTTTTATTAGTTACTGCGTTGAAGACAAACTCGGACGTGCGGAAGCAGAACGAGGAAAAACATTTCACCAGCTGCCAAAAATTTGAAAATCAATCGCAGGAGTTGGGAAAACTTTCGGTGTTGCAATAATTTTCCTCCAGAGGAAGTCCAAGTGAAAAGAAGTCAAAGTGAACGAATAACAGCAATAATCGAACAGAATCAAACGGGAGGAAGTTGACGAGATTCGGTACCTTTAGTTCAGAGTGTGTAGGAGCAGATACAAAACAACACGAGTGACAGAGTGAAGTTTTGTCAATCGATTCATTTGGTGGAACATTCCAGCAAAGTGTCAAAAGATGAAAACTTTTGCGACGTGCTTCCTGGTGATTGGAGCTGTGCTGGCCGCTGCTTACGCGTATCCAAGTAGGTGCTAAGTGGAAAATAATGGGAATTGGGAGAACATTCGCTCGGGGGTGGGCAGTGGGGTTGGGTGGTGTTTATTTGATTGTGTGTTTTTTTCTCGCTTCACTCCAAGCAAAACAATAACATCTGTTGAATTGGATGATTCAGATCAGCTTAGCAGTCACCTTAGCAATGATGAGCCCAGTCGGGTTGCTTTTCGTCATTTATCGTACAGCTGTAAATACGAGAAGATTACGTTGGTCGGTCAATGTCGTCGTCGTAGTTGTTGTTGAATTGAACGTTGTATGGTCGAGAGTCTACGGTACCCCTGCTCACCGTTGACCTGATGGTTGGCGCAATCATAAAAGAAAATCGGCTTTTCGTTGTACATACACAAATAATAGGTGATGTGAAAAAGATTCAGCTTGATGCAGTTCTGCATCAACGTCAGATTGTTTGAATATTTCATTACATTATTTATTTGGTCATCGGTCGAGCTTCATTGATGGGCACAAAAACCGGTTCAGGTTTATTCGTTAGACAAACTTGAGTTGAAGTGCATATGCATTATAAATACGCACGGCAAAAATGATTGCTTGCAATGAGCCGCCTTGAAATTTATTTGAATCCATAGAAGGCTTTCGACATTCTCTCAGGCGAAGAAAGGGTCACTTTGCATATACATTTTTCTTGTGACTTCTGAACGAAAGATTCGAAAGGTTTTTTTCAATATTTGATCATGAACAGTCCTGATAGAAAAGAGGAGAGAGTTCTGAACCGAATAATGGAGAAACAACGAGCACACAATTAATTCACATAATTAGGGCTTTTGATTTGATTTTAATCCCATTAGGTATCTCCCGTGCATAAGAACAAATTATTGATTGCATTTGTTTCTGATCAAAGGACTTCTAATTCAATAACTTTTCCATGTGTAACATTGGAATTGATGAACAGTAAATAATTATTTTGATTTTATAACAACAATATCACTGATTCATCATTAAAATTTCATTAACTCTGTCCAAACGCCATTGGGTTTTATTCGTCGTAAGGATGAAGATACACGGCCATTGAGAGTAAATCAGTAGCTGAGTCGAATTCAAATCAAAATTGCAAAAAGTCTGCAACTGCAACTCAACTCTTGCTTTGCTCATCGTTTTGTGAAAATGCACAAGATCAAGTTTTTAAATTTAAATATAAGCTTCCACAGCTCAACCGTATGCATAGCATTATCATTTAATTCTGAAATTTATATGATAAAGTCAACTCTCTCTATCCCGATATTAGAGGGACACTCAAAGCAATTTTTATATGAGAGAAGTAGACGAGGTAGCCTGCATCTCCATCCAGTTTAGGTAAATATCAAGATATGAATACATCGAGAAAGGGAGAGATGACTGTACAATCATGCTCTTGCCACATCCGTATATATGTATACTCCGGGTGTCCTCGATGCGTTACCTTATGGTGAAATAACAGGTTTTGGTACGAAGATGCACATCTTTATATATCATGCAACATATTAAACTACATTAGCATTCATAGCTTGATGTTCCTGAGGAAGAGGCCAGATCTTCATAGGAATCAGTAATCAAAAACTTCTTTCAATTACTTAAACGTGTGAGATTAACTCGATACTGATTGAATCACACTGGTCGACAGTGTTTTACGCCCTTCGAGAATTTTCGATGAATTTAATAGGTTTTGACTCGCTGAATTCAAAAATGTACTCAGATTTTTTGTAACACGTAATATTTTTGAGAAAACCGGGTTTTTCATTCACAAAAGTACTGCTCTGCCTTTTGAATGTTTCGAATTCTAAATAATGGACCATGTTGACTTCACATAGTAGATATATTTAAAACAAGGGTACTGGTTAAACTTGGTAAAACGCTACGATGCTTTACATCCAATGTTTAAGATTCTGGACGTGGCCTTCTTCAATGGATATAAAGTTATATGGTCTTTTATTCAGCGCAAATATGTAGCTTTACGTTCATAAACTAAAACTAAACCCCTGTATCGAACTGTTGCTGATAATAAAACTGACGTCAGCACTTTATCTTGAAGAAGACCTGAATCAAAATGACCAATTCTTCAAGATGTTTGAACCGACGCTTATTGAAAGATCCTGTAATTAATTATTGCGAATAAAAAAATTGAATGGGGCTGCGATTGCTTCGCCCACCGATTTTTACCGCACTGGACAACACTGAAAAAAAAATCTAAATTTCAATTTAAGATTAAGATTTAAAATGATAAATTCTAAATAAATTAATATTTTGATGTAAAGTGTTAAATGTACGTATGTAATTTCCTATTATATTTTATACTTTTATTGATTAACATTTAAACAATTGCCATTGTATTCAACATTTAATGTGAAATATTTAAACTTATTTTTACAATTATTACAATAATTGTATACCTTATTACGTTGTTTTCCGTTTAATTCTACTACTATGGTGAACGTTAAAGTGATACAATAGTAGTAGAAAAGGAAAAACAACGTAATGAGGTATATGAAACATTTGAAATTTTATATCAGGAATGAAAAATTTATCATAATCCAAAACACACTGAGGCAAATAATCTTATTACTTTCATAAGGCTTGACTTATGAATGACACATATGAATTTCATTATTTTCGTCTAACATGAGGTAGCTCTTATACGCCTTTAACCAATTAAATTTTCCCAAGTGTTGAAGGAAGAGTTACCCAATCACGTGCCCCGGAATCTCAACGTGCATGGTTTGGTTCCAGTATTCTCAGTTTTATTATTTGTATGTCAATATTATTTTCATACGGCAAATCAATGAAATTCATACCGATCTCTTGGGACTAAAATTCAAAAGTGGTTCTTATGGAATTTCTACTTGCTTTTGCTTCAGTGCATGAACTGTAGTAGCCCTAATAAAATTTGAATGACTATTTTGCTTAACGACGTTTTCAGAGTATCATCCATACCATTTGTGGAATAGTTCTATGATTTGGGTTATCGTTCGGGTGTAGCAATTTTCGTATTAGGGAAACATTTCAAAACTTTAATTTTATGATTGACATTGAACATATTACATTTCAAGAGCAAATTTTCATTATGTCGTAAGTAACATTCACACCGATCCGAGAAAAATAAAGTTTTGTTTTGATGACCGAAAAGTTATTCCTATTTCCAATTAAACACATATAATCTCATAGTGATAGCAATGTTTAACATATTTAGCCGGGTTTGAATCATACAAAGGCAAATCGCTAGTTTTCATGCTAAGAAATACTGGTTTTTGAGTCAAAAGTTATTATACGTCGTTTGGTGGCCCCTATTGTTACTTAAGTCACTTTAAGGAGAATTATCAATTACGTCTCCTTACGTGCAGCCCATTCATCATTTTAGGACCACCGAAATCATCTTAGCAACAAACAGTTCGATTTATTCACTTTAATAATGAGAAAGCGAAACGATGAAAGTACACTTTTCACGGGTTTCTCAGTGCTGTTACTTAAGACAAACGGCATCTCCATAGAAATCGGAAAACTATTTTGATCGGAAGGTGATTACGTCAAAAAGCAATTCGACTGGTAAATAAATTTAAAAATGGGATGTGATCCTATATTTGGACAGTATACAGTGTAATAGCAGGAGAATCGATTGACACTGATAGCTCGACTTTGTTTACCTTTGTTACATTCGACGTAATGAAAATTTGCTCTTGATTTAATGTATAGCATTTATCATATATAAATAAAATAAAGAACATTAACATTTTATTATTTGAAATTTATAATTGAATAATTGGAATTAAACATCTTAAATTGAACATTTAAAATTTAACATATAAATTTTAACATTTAAAATTGAACATTATTGATTGCATTTTTAAAATTTAACATGTAAAATTCAGCAATTAAAATTGAAAATTTAAAATATTACGTATAAAATTTAACATTTAAATTTGAGCATTTAAAATTGAATATTTAAAAATTAACATTGAAAATACGACCATTAAATAGGACATTTAAAAATGACATTTAAATAGGACATTGAAATAGGAAATTTAAAATAGGACATTTAAATTGAACTTTTAAATTTAAACCAATAAAATTGAACATATAAAATTGAATATTTAAAACTGAACATTCAAAATTGACCATTTAAAATTCAACTATTAAAATTTAACATTTAAAACTGAGCTCTTTAAATTGATCATTTAAAAATGGGCTTTTAATATTAAACATTTTAAATTGATTTTTTAATTGAACATTGAACATTGAACATTTAAAATTTAACATTTTATTTTTTTTTTTACATTTTAAATTGAACAATTAAGATGGAACAATTAAAATTGAACATATAAAATAGAACATTTAAAATTGAATATTGAAAACTGGACATTCAAAATTGGCCATTTAACATTGAACATTTATAAATGAACTTTTAAAATTTAACATTTTAAATTGAACTTTTTGAAATGAAAAACAATTGAAGATTTAAAATTGGACATTTAAAATTGAAAATATTAAATTGAACATTTGAAATTAAACATTTTTAAATAAACATTTTAAACTGAATTATTCAGATGGAAAAAAATTTAAATTGAACATTTAAAATAGAACATTGAGAATTTTTTTTTTTAAATTGACCATTTCAATTGAACTTCTTGAAATGAACATTTATAATTGAATATTCAAAATTAACGCTTTAAATTAAACTTATAAAATGGAAAATTTTAAAATTGAACAACCAAAATTGAACATTTTATATATAACATTTTAAATTGAACATTTAAAATTAGACATATAAAATTGAACAAACTAAATTGACCATATGAAATTGAACTTTTGAAATCAAACATTTAAAATTGGACATTTAAAATTGGACATTTAAAATTGAACGTACAAAATTGACCATATAAAATTGTAATTGAACGCTTTGAAAATATAAAATCGAACATATTAAATTGAAGATTTAAAATTGAAAATTTTAAATTGAACATATTAAATTAAACATTTAAAAATAAA